AAGTACGTTGAAATATTCAAACGACGTATTTATGAGACATTGTAAAAAACAGGCCCTTATGAATTTGTGACCGGAAATGCTTCATTTTGGATAAACAGGGTGTTGACATTGAATTTATTTGATGGTTTCTTAAAATAATTTTTGCAAAAAATAAGTTATTTGCACGAAATTTGGTACTCGGGGAAATTGGAAATCATTATTTCGTATTAATTTTCATGTAACATCTAGAGGGCGCTGCGTATGCTGTCATTATTCATTTCAGATTGCCCTAACTATTTTGACAGTAAACTTTTGGTACTAATTCATACATCTTTCCCAAGTGAAATAGGGACAATGCCTCAACAACGCTAGAGGTGATCGTTTTCGAGATATTTACAATTTTCTATATCGATGCATATTATTTAGCTTCTAGGGCGCTAAGTGAAGTTTCTGTGAACATTACAAAAACTAAGTAAAAGTTTAATGTCAAAAAAGTTAGGGCAATTTGAAATAAATAATGACAGCGTACGCAGTGCCCCCTAGATGTTACATGAAAATCAGTTAGAAATTATGATTTTCCACGTCAAAAAACCCCGAATAGCGAATTTCGTGCAAATAACTTATTTTTTGCAAAAATAAAAAACTTTTGCTGATATACGGCCACAAAAATTGGAAAAAGTAATCGAAAATAGGACCTCCAGATTAGATTAAGTCCGAGCCACTCGTGAAGGTCATATGCCAGAAGTCATATTTAAGATATAATGCCAGAAGTGTATCTTTCGATTAAAGTAAATTTCATGTCAATTTAAACATTAATCTTTGTTTTATTTCCCCCAGGGGTCCACAGGTTGAGAAACACTGTTTCAGAGGCTGAAAGATTTTGGTATTCATTAAAATTCACAATCTAATATAAATCTGTCACTGGATGATTTCGTTTTCATCTCCATCATGTCCAATATTTTCATTTCAGATGCTTTCCATGACATCAATATCGACCCAATTATCTACAAAAACAAGTCGTTTAGGCAGGCCTCAATTCGCCTACACTGTAGTTCAATGGACTGACACCTATCAGAAAACAACTACTCCTCTGGCTAATACCACGAAAGGCGTTGTATTATATCCGACAGGTGTCAGTGCAGGGTTCTTCACTGAATTTATAATTCACTGAATTTTTAAGTGCATATGATGTTGGCAATACAACTGCCGGAAATGATTTTCAATTATTGGAATACACTTCCAGACCGGTCGGATATAATTCAACGCCATTCGTGGTATAAGCCAAGGGAGTAGTTGTTTTCTGATAGGTGTCAGTACATTAACCTACAGTGCAGGTGAGTTGAGACTGGCCTGAATCAATTATTCTTGTAGATAATTTGATTCAAAGCCAAAAGCACTTCCTTGTGGAAAAGCAAAGTTTCATGTTCAGAGTTCATATCAGAACACAATTGTTTGAAGAGACGAGTATTGAGTGCATTCTTTTCAATAAAATTTATTACTTTATAGCTATTTTCATCGTCAAAGCAAAGCATTCTGGAAGCGTCTTGGCAGCTGGTGCTCGACGATGAATAACGCAGTGCGTCCTAATTGCAAACGGATTTTTGGTTTTTGTCAATGCTCTAAAACTAGAGCGAGAACTAAGCATAGCGGGAATATCGTCCGTACAAAACCCCGTAAGCTGTTCTCACATAAGTCCATGATTTTCCATATATTGACTTATTACATCCATAACATCTGCACCTTGCGACGTCCGTCGTTTAAAGTTTTTGAGAAAAAAGTAACTCTTCTTCAAACATTGTCGTATTGTATCATGTCGACTTATCTAACATATTTATTAGGATGGCTCCGCGCTTGGGATGCTTCCAGGGACCACCAGTGGTCCGCGGACCACCGGTTAAGAACCAGTGGACCAGAGCCTTGAGAAAGAGAGGCAGCAATAATGTTCTTGTTTGAAAGATTTTCAGCTAGAAGTTTGACTTTGAAATACTTGTCAGAGTATTCATCAGCCGTAGATATTTCTTTGTTCAAAGCACCTTCATCGTCTAATGAAAAATCCACTGTCTATGCAAATCCATCTGGACCTGGATTTTCTGTTCCAGAATATTGATTTTGCTGAATATGGCAATCTTGTAAGTGTTTTCTTGGCCGAATAAGTTTAAAATATCATTGAAAACCTGGTCAAACGTTCTTCGCTGCACTGCTAGTACCTTCACTACCTTCTCCATAGTCGGTGTCCTGTCACGGTCGCCAAATGTTGAATATTCGAAATTCACCCACCCGGTGACTAAATAAGTCGAATGTAGGACGAAATATAGATCGGAAAATATTAAAGTATTTAATAAACTCAAATATATTCAAAAGAAAGTTCGATACAATTGACTTAGAGGAAAGTCACCTAATATGGAGGTAGTGCCTAATATGGGGTAGTTCAATTTTAAGCAAGTACTTGTTCCGACACCTATTGTGAACATTAAAAACTAACCACCGACTTCCTAGGAAGCGCCCATTCACGTTTTGGAGCAAACTCGTGTTGCGTTTCGACGGTTTAGGTTATGTTAATTTTGTGAATGAATAAAAATTTCTGGTAACTGTTCCATTTTAGATATTTAAGGAAACTTAAAGGTAAGTTTTTGAAAACTTAATAATATCATTCAATACAGAATTTGGCGTAGTTTATGGAAATGGTTTTGGTTTTCCAAGAAAACGTCACAGTTTTTTCAAAAACATTCCCCTTTCAAAAATCTAATTTGTTCGTAATATGGGGTACCTATCAATTCCCAATATGGGGTACCCCATATTAGGGGACTGTGTACCTTTCCGTATAAAACTAAAGTATTTTCTTTCAGATGCCTAAAAAACGAGAAGTTTGGAACAAGGAACAAATGATTTTAGAAATTTTAGCTGTTCGGCAAGGCAAAATGAGCTACAAGAAGAGTGCGCAGACGCACCTAATATACCTCAAATGACCTCAGAAAGGTACGTAAAGATGGAGGAAGCGCCTGAAGACATTGTGAATTCTTCGTTAGGAAGAAGGATAGTCTTTCCATAAGAAATGGAGTCAATGCTCGCAAATGACTCCTCAGAAATGGAAACATTTTTTTTTTGAATTACTCGAAAAGACGTGTGCAGATTGGCATACAGCTTATGCAAGGCTAATAATATAAAAAATCCATTAAGCGTAGCAAAAGAAAGTGCTGAGAAGAAATGGTTTTCTTTTTTTATTACAAGACACAAAGAATTGTCATTGACAACGCCACAAGGAATATCATATGCGCGCATTAAATCATTTACCAGAGAAAATGTTGCAGCATTTTTTGATTTGTATGATCCACTTTTCGAAAAAATAAATCAAAGTCCAGCCAGGATCTTCAACTGTGATGAAACTGGCCTAACCATAGTCCAACACAAGCATATTAAAGTTTTGGGAGAAAAGGAAAAAAACCAATTGGTGCAATTACATCAGCAGAGCGCTGATATCCAACATACCCAAAGAAAAAGAAACAGTCAGTTGCTGAAGAAAAAGCAAACAAACATCCTGGAGTTCTTCTTCAGATTCGGCTTCTGAACTCGAATATCGAGATTCAGATTACTAGCAGGTATAAAACTTTGAAGAATATGCCATTTTTTATTTTTTGCGGAAATCCGTACTCCGAAGATGTCAGTGGCGAAGAATGGGTAATGTGTCAAAGCTGCTTCAAATGGGCTCATGTTGAATGTGCTAATTGTGAAAGAAATCCGTATATTTGTGACTTTTGCATTTCCAAATAATTTGTTGTATGTTATTTCTAGATGAGAAACCCATATTGCGAACATAGTGTACCCCATATTAGGATATCATATGCCCCCAATATGGGGTAGTACACTTTTTTTTAATTTTGCATATTTTCATCTGCTTTTTCAAAAAACACGTTTCTTCTTATTAAATGTTTGATAGTATAGGAATCACACGTTAAAAGGTAAGACCTCGTTAATCCTTAGCTCGCACAAGTTTCGACTTCTGAGGGTTGTCGTTCGTAGGGGTGTGACAGCTGGTTAACGGAAAAACAGATTTTAAAACAGATTTTTTTAAAACAGATATCTAACGAAACATGAAATATGGAAATGATACTTCAAACTACCTCCATTTTTTAATTATGGTGTTTTGAAAAAAACAACCCCATATTAGGAGACTTTCCTCTATCAATCATATATCAATGACAGTAACTTGACAATTCTTGTTAGAGAAAATACAATGTGTACAAAAAAAGTTTAACAAATTCAGAAAATGAACTATCTGCGACAACTACTTTGCACTATCGAGTGGCCAAACAACCCGAAACCGGTCTGCAAGTTTGTTCCAATTACTGAAAATTGATTCCGGCAGTTGTATCGCCAACAGTATAGCAGGAATAATTCCAGTGGAGAATCTTGCACTGACACCTGTCGGATATAATCTAGCGCCATTCGTGGTATTAGCCAGGGGAGTAGTTGTTTTATGATAGATCAGTCCATCAACCTACAGTGTAGGTACCTTGAGACTGGCTTGAACGAATTGTTCTTGTAGATAATTCGATTTATAGCCAGTATTCAAGTACACACTTACTTTAGTAACATCAATATTGACTTTATTAGGGAATTTTCTCTAGTATGAATTTGCTATTCTATATATGAACTCCATCGAGATAAACGTATCATAGACTCTTTGATTCTGACAGGAAATCTTATTTCTATAAAAATTCCAAGACTGTAAATTTTTTGCGTCTACGCAAAAGATATTCAATCAATCATTACCACACCACAATTTGTTACAGAAAAGTTTTTATACTTTCTGGCAAGCCTCTCACACAATAACCGTTCAACCGAGAGATCACTTTTATTGTGTCAGTTGGAATATTTATTTCAAAAAGAAATATTGCAAGAACCTACAGACGTACTGTAACACCCAACCATTTATTTTCTGTATTTTCACCTGTCGATACGAATTTTAATTTCGAAAGGTCACTAGTTGATCATTCGACATTCGCTGGATATTGCATGCTCACCTTGACAAACGTTCCGGTGGACAAGTCCAAAAAAAACTAGCACTGAAACACTAAAACTATACCTGTGAAGGGCGAATTTCACTGAACACATTTTCGTCATTTTCACTTTTCGACGAACACATTTAACAATTCAAAAGGCCGACCGCGGTTCAATTTTCACCTGCTGCCATGGCAATCTGGCGATTTTAATGATAGAGCTGCGAGTAACACCAGCACAGCTGTAAACTTCACACAAGAATGAAAGTCAAAAGTCGCACACAACGGTAGTACCTGCCCGCGAGAGACACGTTGTTTGGTAGTGAACTATTTATTTTTATGTTGTGGGAAGTCGTGCGTCTCAAAAAATAATGCCAAAGACGTAACCGATGGTGAGACATACAGGGCAACTTGAAACATATATGTAGGTTTTCTTATTAGGTCAATTGATTTGTAGTACATCGATATTGCATTACCATCCGTTAGAGATCAGAGGATTAGTTTGTTCTGTAGATAGAAAGTCTTAAGTACGATAACATATCTACTCACGTCAACGGAATATTTTTTGCTGGCAAAATCTTGTGAAATACCTAGGTAGGTATACGATATTATCCAAGACACCAAAACCCCCATTTCGATTTACAAAAAAGTAGAGGTCTGTCACGTTATACACTGTGTTTTCTAAGTAAGGTACGAGACTTCAGAGGATGATTCATTAGGTCGTTTTGAGAAAAATAGGTTTTCATGAACATATGTCCGCAGTTGTTTTGTTTCTGAGATACAGGACGTTGGAAAACGGTATTTATGAAATATCCTTACACCGATTTGGTTCAAATTTGCTACAGTTGTTTGAAGTAATAAGGCGCTTATTTAGCCCTAACTAGATCGAAATTATTGGGTCCAGTGGAGTCTCAGTGCTGGGCACCACCAGCGAACAATATCGGAAAATCTAATTGGCCCATTTTTCCACCAGCAAGAATAATAGGTGAATCCTACACGGACTTTTTGCGAGATCATTTACCCATTTTGTTAGAAGTGCCGCTACTTGTGAGAAGCAACAAGTGGTTTATGCACGACGGGGCTCCAGCTCATTCTAGTGTTCTAGCTCGTTAGCATCTCGATATCAACCACTCTAATCGCTGGATTGGACGTGCAGAACCTCAAAATTGTCCAGCTCGCAGTCCTGATATGAATCCTTTAGAGTTCTATTTATGGGGTCATCTGAAGGCTCTTGTTTACAAAACTCCTGTACTGAATGTGAATGACTTGAGGAATCGAATAATTGACAAGTGTAGTGTCATGAGGAATACTCCTGGTATTTTTGAACGTGTCAGACAATCAATGACAAATCGATTGCAATCGTGTATTTTATCAGAAGGTGGACATTTTGCTCAATTACTTTAAGGTCGAAATTGTTCATTATTTACCTTTGGTTTTTATTTTATGGTGTCCATGGATAGTTTTTAGAACTGATTTTTTTTCTCAAAAACGAAGCTTGATATGAAGAAAACACAAGCGATGAAAAAGTTAGTGGCGTTCTTTTTTTAGATGAAGTTTCGTACCGTAGTTGGGAAACACTCTGTATAAATAAATTCTAGTATTTAGGTATAGTTCTTCATGTTTTCTTTAACGAGCGTTTGTTGAAAAGCAGTCATACAAATTATTGAATGAATTGTTCATCACATTTTTATTCTTACTTTCGTTTTGGAGACTGTATCATGTGTAAGTTTTTTGTTTTTACTGGAGGAAACACCGTGAGTCAGTAATTTCGAAACTTAAGTCATTCAGTTGATCTATTCAGAAACATGAGATTAGTTTTTACGGAAAAACAACTCATAATGTCATATTATAGGTACACAGGTCGAATTCCGACTAAGATTCGAAATATGTTTTGGGGGGGGTCATCCAGTTGTTTTGATTATGTGTTCATATCGCAGAAAAAATTGATCAACTGTATCGCTAGCGTCTCTAGTACTTCTAGTTGTAGAAAATTTCTAAAACTTATCAAGTTTTAACATTGCATGCCGTGTTTGTACATATTTGAACCTACGGCCTAATAACTTCGACAATTGCGGAACTATATAGCCAAACGTCACACCCATGCTCAATCCATTAAGAGATGGGATGGAATCAAACGATGCAATCTTGTCAGGATCACCCTGGGCGACCCTCGGAAGCTGGCGCCGAAGAAATATATGGCGATGACCAGGAAAAATCTACGCCTAATAGTAGGATTTCTGACTGTCCACTGTCAACTAAGGAAACACCTCCATAATATGGGGCTAGTGGACACACCTCTATGTAGGATGTGCGAACAGGAAGATGAGACTGTCAGGCATGTCCTGCCCGGAGTTATTCTCAATAAGAGAGTGTGTGTTCGTCGAGTCTTGGCCTACACCTGCCGATATAAAGGAGATGTCTCCTAGTGACCTGTCCACCTTCCTGGAAAGGACAGGATGGACGATGACCTAGGAGGACAACTCCTCTGGAGGATGTACAATGGGTCACATGTGGCCTAAGTGCTGTGGGCCTACACTCATCCTCCCTACTATCTACATACAGATACAGAGATACATATTCGAAGTGTGTGTTTTTGTATTTTGTAATTCGAACTCTTTCGAAACTAATAAGTAAATTCACACTATTAATACAAGACAGAAGAATGACTTATATGTAGATACTATTTTCAAGCACTATTTTTGTATAGGTCACCCACTGTGTTTAATAAACTTTCGGCTGAAAGTATTCAAACAATATCTTAGGAAGTACCTGTAAAAAGGTGGATTTCACTTCTTGGAAGAGTATTAGTTCTTTTTTTGAGGTAATTGGCTGCTGTTTTTTTGACAAATTCAATACTTACATGTTTCTGCATGTCACTAAAAAAATATTATTATCATTCCTTGGAGCCGTCTGACTTGGCCATTTCTTCCAAATCTTCGAAAAACACTGCAGTCTCATGGGATTGTCCAACAATCTTGTTTCATGTCCAGTCTGTGAATGTCGCTTGCTGGACGCATGTCATATTGTTCTGAGCATAATTTGGGTTGTCCATAAACTGTTTGCCGCTTGTAATTCATTTGCATAAAATATGACGAGCTGTCTTTTCGCTTTGCCTGCAGCTAAGGTTACCGTTGTACAACCCTGTTTTGTTCTGGTGCCCTCTTGATGGACATTGTTCATTGAGTAGTTCTGTAATTGTTCTAAGTCGACATGACAAAAAAGTGTGCTGCGTTTGTTCACACTCGACTTTTAACCAAAGTTTCACAGTGGAATTGGCCGCGGTGGTAGTGCGCCCGACTCACGATCGGAAGATCATGGGTTCGATTCCCGCCTCGACCAGATACTTTTCTCGAGAGAATGTATCTGGTTGAAGCGGGGATGATTCTGCAACCGTGTTAGGAATCACACGTTAAAAGGTAAGACCTCGTTAGTCCTTAGCTCGCAGTTTCTCAACTTCTGAGAGTTGTCGTTCGTATGGGGGCGACATCTGATTAACGGAAAAACAGATTTTAAACAGAAACAAAGCAAGATTCTTGCGTCGTTTCATAACCATGGAAGAAAGACGTGTCCATCACTTCATACCCGAGACAAATGAGCAATCAAAACAGTGGACTCAAAATGGAGAACCGGCTCCACAGAAGGCAAAGATCGGTTCATCTGCAGGTAAGGTCGTGGCATCGGTTTTTTGAAATGCGCGTGGGATAATCTTTATTGGATCTCTTAAAAAAGGTAAAACTATCAACGGCGTGTATTACGTAAACTTATTGCAACGTTTGAGTGAAGAAATCAAGCAAAAACGACCGCATTTAGCTAATAAAAAAGTATTGTTCAATGTGTTGTTCAATCAAGACAATGCATCAGCTCACAAATCCATTATCGCAATGACCAAAATTAACGAATTAAAGTTTTTAATTGCCAGCCTGTGCACCCTATTCGCCTGATTTAGTCTCCTCGGATTATTTTCTGTTCCTAAACTTGAAAAAATGACCAAGTGGCCAAAGATTTTCAAACGATGAAGATGTGATGTCGACAGTTGATGGCTATTTTGAGGAGCTTTGCTATCAGTGATATCAAAAACCATCATATACTTAAATATTTGGAAGGATTCAACATCTTGAGCGATTATCAATATGGAAACAAAGATCAACAGGCGACCTTCTACCGTATTTGGAATAACGCAATCGAGAATCGTGGAGAGTCAAGAGCTGTTGCGCTTGATATTTCTTAGGCCTTTGACAGTGTGTAGCATGTGGGTTTGCTGGTCAAATTTCGATGCTATGGCTTGTCGAATAATTTTTGTATGGCTCCTCAGCTTCCTGGAAGAACTTTACCTGCAAGTGGCCGTCGATGGATATCCCTCGAATACTTTCACCATCATCGCCGGTGTTCCCCAGGGACAACAAAATACAGTTGCATTGTTTTCAATAGACATGCATTGTCCTTGTTATTTGTTTTAATTAAAATCAAATTCATCATTTCCCTGCTACCCTTGTTTTTCAAATTATGTATCTTACCTCCATATTACTACTATCCTACAGTTTACAAGAACCCAATGATGAAAAATCAAGAACCTGCCATGCTTGGTTTTGTATAGTCACAAATGTATAATTCATTAATAAATATTTTTTGTAGGGATGGTACATAGTAACATATGCATTAGGTATTTATCACTTGAACCTATTTATAGCATTTTTAACACCAAAAATAGATCCGGCCATGGATTTTGATGGTAAGCTTCATTATTATTTATTTTGTCATATCTGATATAGAAAAAAAAATGAATACATTCAGAAAACGAATTTGTGTAGAAATTCACTCCTCAGTTACAAATGTCAACTTGGGAACAATTGAGAAAAATAATATAATTAGAAAATTAATATTATTAGTGTAACTAATTTTTTTTTTATCAAGAGTTCAATGGAAAGGTGAAAAAGGGCTTAACTCTTGTATTCATAAGAAGAAACTGAATGAAACTACAATATTCTGCAGAATTTGTTTTTCTAAGAGGAAGTGTTTGAAACTTCGTCAATATTCAATAAGAAACTTCTCAAAAATAAGGGATATAACATTTCACTTTCAACATACTGTTGTGAATGTGGCAAGCATATGGGTCACAGATGTGTTTCAAGTAATTACAGTTGGGATTTTAAGAAAATAGATTTTCCCCATTATGTGAATAGTATAATATACAGTGAGTTTCAAAAAGTTTGCACCATATGGGAAACGTTTTTATTATTTGTCAGAAAATTGTATTCCTGATAAAAATTGGTGTATTACGGGAAACTTGG